ACAACATCCGGATACAGGTCGCATGTTAATGCCAAGTGTAAACGCGGCCTAAGAGACACTTTTCACCCTCCAATCCATTCACCATAGATAGCTGCTCACGATCACACTGACTTTAAAGATGCAGTATGGGGCCATTCATAAAGACAGCATTCATTCAGCAATATTTGTAAATTAACATCATGAGTTTTTGTAAAGCTGCTTTTTTAAACAATGTTATGAAAAGTGCTATATAAATAAAGGATACAAGCTCTTCTTCTTCTTTTTGCCACTGATCACCTGTCCACTTTCTGTTTTGATTTTCTTGTTTTTGTCCTCTTTGCCCATGTCATGGACGAAGCGTTTCCTCTTGCGATCCCTGCAGTGAGCACGTGTAATAAGACCATAAGCAGACGTACGGACAGTACTGCATATGTAATAACGGGAAGGTGCTGCTCACCATTTCATCAGGTTCTTGTGCTGGTTTAAAGTGTTGCTCTCGTCTCCCATCAGATCCAGAACCGCAGAAGAGGCCTGCTGCTCAAAAGATCCGCCGTCACCGCCGAGACTGAGCCTGAACAAACCCAAACACACACATTCACACTGAACATCCGTGCTTCCCAGCTCAACATGAAGAATCATGCACTGGTGCTGTCGTACCCGCGCTCTGAGTTGAAGTCTTTGGGTCTGTATGGGATGTAAAACTCCTCACCTTTTCCTGATTTTCTGTTCTTTTTGTTCTTCAGTCTGTCTGCTTCATTATATTGCTTTTGTCTTTTCCCTCCAACCACCTCTGAGAACACAGTCTGGAGAGCATATGGACACAAAAACTAAATCGCAATATTGATAAAAAAACGTTGACTTTTTTTTATCCCGATTTTGACTATTTCCTTACACACGCACACACATTTTACATTCATAAATGCATTTCAGTGTTTATGACTTTGAATTCAAAACTTATTTCAAAAGGAAACCAATTACAGCTTTATCAAAAAACAGACATAGAACAGATCTAGAACAGACATAATGCAAAAAAAAATCAGTAAATATAGGAACGCAACATCTCGAGAACAGACATAACAAAAAAAATCAATAAGTATGAATGTAATATCTCTAAAACAGACATAAGAAATCAGTAAATATGAACAACGTTTCTAGAACAGACATAACGCAAAAAATCTATTAGTATGAATGCAACGTCTCTAGAACACACAACACAAAAAAAATCAATAAATATGAACGTAACATCTCTAAAACAGACATAAGAAATCAATAATTATGAACAACGTCTCTAGAACAGACATAACACAAAAAATCTATTAGTATGAATGCAACGTCTCTAGAACAGACAACACAAAAAAAATCAATAAGTATGAACGTAACGTCTCTAAAACAAACATAAAA